ATGCTATGGTATGGTATGGTATGGTATGGTATGGTATGGTGTGCTCTGTTGTTGTTATCCTAGGTCCCATCTATTCCAATCTGACTCAACCTCTACAGGTTTTTTTCACGTAATACTATCTTCTGTGTCAGACAAAGAGGTAGACAATCAGACAAAGAAACAAACAAACACATCAAGCTGTGGTTTATAGATAAAAGTAAAGATAAACAAACAAGCAGACAGACAAGCAGATGGACAAGCAAACGAATGGACGGACTAGCAAACAGGCAGACAAATAGACAGACAAACAAACAGACACACCAAATTTGTAATCTTTACACACTAAGGGAGCCGCGGAACTGTATTTTTTCATGCTTGTTTGGAACTCCATTAAAATTGCTATCGCCTTTTGAATCTCCAGCACTTCAAGTAGCCAGCAGCCTTGATATTCCTTCTATTATTCTTTATGCCTCCGTACATGTCTTACACCGTTTCGGCCTTTACTACCTCATCGAAGTAAATTTCACGCTACAGAGCAGGCCAGCGTTAAAGCTGCTCTTTATTTCACCTGGGCTGCGAATCATGACTGCTGACAGACACGGACGCGTTCTATGTAAGTTTTCGTAGTAATGCTGATAGCGAGGTATGTTTGAGCAACTTTCACTTTTAGTTCCGCCAACGTTTCAAGCAAAAGGAATGCGGCCAATTTTTGTTCAAGCGTTTCTCATCCGCCTCCTTCAGGTTTTCGAGTATCGTTATCCAGACAAAATGTGGGCTGAGCCGGGAGACTTTTCATCGTTGTTGAGCAATGGCCATGATGCAATTTTTATTCTTCTACCAAGGTCTACAGAAAATGGAAACAGCTACCAGCACATTTCTAAGCTCCTTGTACAGGTGAAAAAAGAATTTCATCTACATTGTTTCAGTCGATTAACGAATATTCAGCATAATTCGGAAAACAACTTAAAAGTGGCAAAGCCATCCTTTCTCTCGATCGGCAACTACGATGTAGTAGCTTTAGAAAGTTATGATGCGGCTACAGACACAATGTGAGCAGATTTTCTCACAACTATCCTAAATATCACTTTTTGGTTATGCTTGCAGATATTATACTGCCCTAGCTCCTTCACCTGGCAATCGACATTTGTATTCTACAAAGGCATTACCAGTGAGTGATATTAGGATTGATCGCTTCTTACATAGTTCCAAAGGATGACGATAGCAACCATTATCCTCTCAGTTGTTTTTTTCTGATATCACTTGAATAGAAAGGTGAGATGAAATTGCTAAGATAAAATTTCTAATTGTGCTCAGAAACGTTCTATGAGTGGCAAAAAGGTGGTTAGATGCTATTGGACTGACGCGATCACCAATTTGGGCGGGGCCAAGATCAGAAGTTCATATCTATGTGAAAACGCTTTAGATCACGGAGAAAGTGCACCTAAAATAAGGGCGACCAAATCTCTACGGCGGAGGGATTGCATCGAAGCGTGCGTAGCTAAGATTAAAAATTCGCAGTTCAGATCACAGACGTCCTTTACGTTCGAAAATCTTTCTATCGGTTGATTTATAATCATTACTGAACACCTATGAAAATATCATTATTATTTACTGATGAGTTATGAGGTGATTTTAGGGAGGTCTAATGTAAGCGAACTTAAATCAGACGGATGTGAGAGGTCTACCACCGGCGGATTGGAACAGTGGTAAGAGTAACGCCTCATAATCGAGAGACTACAGTCGGGTTTAGGGTTTTTGGCAAGAAATTTGCATTGTATTGAATTTTTTCCTCGTAGCGTAGAAATTCCTTTGATGTTGGTTTTATCGTGTTCTATGACCTTTAAGTGGTTGTGGTGAACGACTTTTTAATAGTTGTGGTGACAACGTTCTTACCCAAACATTGTAATACCGCTTCGTAACTTTTTTGCATGTAGGCGAAAAGAATGTTGTGTAGTCATGTCAGAAATGGCCGTGGTGAGTGCTTAATAGCAGGCGACGTGTCTTGAATAAGAACTAAAGTCTCCGAATCTAACAGCACTGAACTGAAAGTAGGTAGGTGGTAGTACGCCATGTCACGAGTAAATAAACAAAAGTTTACATTGAGAGCTATTGTGTGTGAAGGGATGTCATATTTTCGAATGGCCAAGAAATGAGTGTATGATTGGCTGTATTAACCCCTTGGTTCGAACTGTTCATTACCTATACCCCTTTTGGGGAGGTAAGTGTTCGAAGCCGCTATGCACGATCGTACACACTCTGAAACCACGAAACACTTCTGACGCATAAGCCATCAATGAAAAGGCAAGGCTTAATGGCGAAAAAGTAGGTGATTGTAGAGAGCAGCGGCATTACTTCATCTACTTTCCGCGATCTCTTGGGGTTAGAAATTGCAAGTGCGCATATCGCTCTGAATTCATCGCGAAGATTGACAGAATGAAGTCTTTGAAGATGATCGATTCTGCCTTTGGGGTGCTCTCCGCGCTCGATTAATACAAGTGGCGTGTAGAATGCGTATATGGTCTATGCAGTGATCGAGGTTACCATCTAATGCATAGGTCAGTGCTTTCATCCATCCAGACGAATCTGGTACCAATTAATCTACCCCGGAGAGATGGAAGGCTTGATTGGCCCGAACGAAGCTCCATATTCGGACCATCTCTGTGTGATGGTGCGCCCCTGCTACCACACCGCATTCGCCCCACTGTGGATGTAGCGTGAACAGAGATGAAAAAAATTGAAACGATATTGCATGATTTAGGTAAGAAAGTTGTAACATAACAATCAAAAGGTCGTAGGATACGATAAAACCATAATCAAAGGAATTCCTACGCTACAAGGAAGAATACAATAAAATGCAGAAATCTTGCCCCCCACACAACCCGAACCCTAGTCGATCGTGAAGCTGTGAACCGTGAAGTCACCCTCACCTACGCCACAATCTGCCGGGGTAGACCTGTCACATCCATGTAATTTAAGTTTGCTTATGTTGGACCTGCCTAAAATCATTCATAACGCCATTCGGAGAATCGTTTTGCGGAGAATCGCTTTGCAAATTTGGAGCAGATTCGGGATCAGCTTCCGAGAATACGTCTGCCAGTATAGGTCTCATTTCAAACGGTCACTTCGACCCGCGTTCCTTCCCTGGTCAGATTAGAGAGTCCATCTTTTTTTGACGTGTTCTTTGTTGTGGCGGAGTCCAATTGGTATATATATATATATATATATATATATATATATATATATATATATATATATATATATATATATATATATATATATATATATATATATATATATATATATACATATATATATATATATATATATATATATATACATATATATATATATATATATATATATATATACATATATATATATATATATATATATATATATACATATATATATATATATATATATATATATATACATATATACATATATATATATATATATATATACATATATATATACATATATATATATATATATACATATATATATATATATATATATATATATATACATATATATATATATATATATATATATATANATGACGATAGCAACCATTATCCTCTCAGTTGTTTTTTTTTCTGATATCACTTGAATAGAAAGGTGAGATGA